CTACCTAACTATATACAATAATAATATAAATACACGATACTGCCTGACTAGCCAACTACTTAACCACCCACCTACATCCTGCCTAACTAGCTAACTTGATTTAACTATTCAACTACCTAACTATATACAATAAGAATATAAATACACGATACTGCCTGACTAGCTAACTACTTCACCACCCACCTACATCCTGCCTAACTATAGCTAACAATTTAGCTATTTAACTACCTAACTATATACAATAATAATATAAATTGTAGGAGCGTGCTGACCTGAATGAGCAGGTGCTGGCTAGGATGAAGGTCAGAGGAAGAAGCAGCTCTATTGGTCCGGTGAGTAAAAAGAAATTAAACATTATTTCAAACTTTTCTTTTTTAATCCTTATGTCTTTGCAACCTGAGCTGAAAACATTTGTTTTGGATAATCTCAATAGCGATTGCTAAATCTCAATATCTACTGAGGACACTTTTAATTTTCTGCTTAATCCTCTCTTTTGGATTTCCCTGCTAAGATCAAATTAATCTGAATAATGAAAAGTGGAGATCAAGCAATATCTACAATGGATATTTCTGACTAAAAATTATGTTAGATCAACTGTTAAAAGTTGAAATATTAAAGGTTACGGATATGGTAACGAATATCAGAGCTTGAGCTGTTTAGTTTTAAAAAATACTACTGGAAAAAATTCACTCTTTAAAATAGAACCATTGAAAGGATTTCCTTTTCCAATTCTCAATAACACAATTTTAATTTAAAAATGGCAGGCTTTTTTCTTTTGCAACTTAATGGACTTTTATTAATTTTTTAAAATGTTTTTGTCTCAGGTCGCCATATTGTTTGTAAAAAAAGAATTTAGATACAACTTGAATTTTCCCTGAACCCTTGAATTAATGAAATTCTTTATAAAAACAACACAGTTCCTTTCATCGGGAAATAATTGTTTTTGAGTTTTTTTTACTGGAGCAAAATGAAACCTGTTTCCATGACACAAATCAGTTAGAAATACGGCAACATAAAACTAAATACTGGTACAGCTCAGCTCAAAGAAATGGTGAATTGTTCATCAAATGCTAAAATCCACCTTGCAGCAGTTCTAACGTTTTCTTTGATACATTTAAAAAAAAAGATTTGTGAATTTTTTCTTCATAATTTTTAAACTAATTCAGATTTTTGCTTTTTTGTGTAAATCATATCATTAATTTGTAAGCCAAAAAATGTCGTCAAAATAAATTAAGATGGGTATATAAATATCTATCTTGAAACACTGAGTTCAGAAACGTTAATTTTGTAAAAATCTCGTGATAATTAAGCATAGTATAACCATAAAACCAGTATTTGGGAAAGAGTATCGAAAAAACTAGTAAAATAAAAAATAAAAAAGTTATCAAATATCGAAAAACGGACAAATGAGCGGTATTTAGCGGTTAGACGCATCTTTTGAACTGCATGTAAACATGTTTTGAACAAAAAGGAAAAATCGACCTTCCCTTGGCTTTTTAAAAGTGTTCATTACTGTATGATTATTGATTTTAAAATTTTTTTAAATCAATTCTTTTAATTTTGATTTGTTTAGTCGAATTCTTTAGTTTTCTCATCACTGATTTTTCAGGCCTAATTTTTCTAATGCGTTGCTGTTGCTGGATAAATGCCTCGGCGAGAAAAGGACAAGTTTTAAAGACTCTCTCTTTAGTAATATGTTTAGCTTTAATTATGTAATCTGTTTTAACTGCTTAATAAAACTTGTTGTCATCAATTTTTTTTATTTTCATTATATTATTATTTTGAGAACTTGAGAAGCAAACCAGTTTTTGCAACCCTCCAATTAAATAAAAGGATACTTAGAAACCCTTGCATTTTTGGAGCCAGGAAATCAACTTTTTTCAAATTTTCTTTGCATAAAGATCCCTGCAATTTTGTTAGAAAACTCTCTTATAAAAATAATGCATTTTACAATTGGAAAACCTTAAATGCCATAAAAAGCCACAAGCAGAAAGGAGCTTGCTCCATCAGAACCTTAAAAGTTAATTTTGATAATACCTCTCTTTTAATGTTTCATCTTTTTAATAAAGCTATTCGCTTTTATACATATATGTCAGCTATAGCCGGCCAAACGGCTGGACCAAATTGACTAAAAATTTCGAGGGAACTCATGGGTACCCTGGAGGTAACATATAGGCTAAACAAGATTTGATTTTTTTTATATTCTTCAACAGTTGATTTTTAAAATATTTTTTTTTTATTTCACGGGCAACGCCAGGCACTTTAGTTAGTACCTTAAATATAAAAACTGTTAAAAGAGATATATTTTTTTATTAAAATTCAATTAATTAACAGTTTTTAATACAGTCAGTGCAAGTGGGTGTTTTCTTTCCATCCTGGCACTTTTTCTTGCAGTTAGATATTCCAGCTCCCCCAGCTCCCTGGCAGAAATTACAGTTGTCACAGGGGGGTCTGAAAATAAATATGGTATTTTTTTTTGTTTTGTTAATTTACTCTAGAGAAACTCTAGTATGGCCGTTGTAGATGTTATATAGAAAAAATCTGAATATAAGATCCTGGATATTAAAGTTAAAATGTAAAATACAAGGTTACCCACAATGGATGAGACTCTAAAGACGACCAAAAACATTAAAAATATGACGATTTAAAGGTTGTTTTTGGTTTCTGTATTCAATTGAGTATTTTGATGGTTTACTAAATAATTAAGCACAGAAATAAGGCAGTTCTGGCCTACAAGGAACCTTGAAATAAGGCAGTTCTGGCCTACAAGGAACCATGAAATAATGCAGTTCTGGCCTACAAGGAACCATAAAATAAGGCAGTTCTGGCCTACAAGGAACCATGAAATAAGGCAGTTCTGGCCTACAAGGAACCATGAAATAATGCAGTTCTGGCCTACAAGGAACCATGAAATAAGGCAGTTCTGGCCTACAAGGAACCCTAAAAGCAAGAAAACGGAAAAAGCTTGTATGGACCAAAAAAAACTGAAAAAGCAACATGAAGAAAAACAGAAAAGTGCTCTGCTTGGCCTTTTTGAGGGGATCAGTGTTAAAGTTATACATTTATAAAGACTTGAACACATTGCCTTAAACCTTATTTTAAAATCCCAATCTCTGTCTATGCCTGACTGTATAAGTCTAGGAAATGTTCAACTTTGTCCATGTTTTACATTGTAATTGCCAATACAACCTATTTTATATGAATTTCAGATCGGAAATCAAAGATTCATCATCATGTATATTAATACAATGCATTTCGATTTAAAGTTTAAATTTTATCAAGCTTTCAGACAGCATGGATACTCATAAACATGGAAACAAAAATAAACTGTAAATTAACAGCTTCTGTTTATTAACTTGTAAACTTGTATAGTTTGAGAAAAGCTTGTTAGGAATCTAATCTTAAATAGAAAAGTCGTCTTCATTGTATTGATATAAACGCCGACGACTGTAGAAGATGTTGTAGTCGTCTGTTTAATTCCTTCTTTACTGGACAATTATCAAGATTATCATTCATTTCATTTTAAGAAAATTTCATAAATATTATTGAAAAAGTGAAAAGAAGTTAAACTTTTTTATATTAAGACCCCCCCCCCCCCATCCTAAAATATCTCAAATTTAAAATTACCTAAATTATACCTACCGGGCCTAAGCAAAGTTTAGCTAACGAAACGCAAGTTTTGAAAAATGAACTGAAGAGTCCGTTAACAAAGGGGAACAATCGTAAGATTTACGGCTCAAAAAAAGAACGAATGAATGTGTTTAAACGACAACTTCTGTTAATGCCATTAATATAGGTGAGATCGTTAGCGAACGGAAACTTTGAGAAAGCACCAAAAATATTATTAACGAAAAAAACATTCAGTTCGTGGCTAAAGAACGAATGTTCACAAGAAAAGTAGTTTTTTCAACGAATTTAACGAAATTTTAACAACTTGAAAAAAGCCCTAATGTGCGCAGTCCTATATTTTAGACCTGTTTAATACTTACAGAGTATTTCCTCCACATAGTGCACAGAGAGGACACATATTACAACCGTCACATGATCCTTTACATTCCCTGCACTCCTGAAACAATTTAAAAATAAGTTAATGCTTCCAAAAAAAATTATTTTTAGGATGGTGCCCGGCAAAAAGGGGAAGTTGAGCTGAGAGCTTACGTTTCTGTCAATATTCGAGAAAGCTGTGACTTTCAATCACAATTTTTCCTAATAAACATAATTAATGTCTTACCTTTTGTATTTACTTTTTCCCCGCATATATGTTTTGAATGAAAAGCATTAAACAAAAAATCCAAATATAAAGATGGTTTAATTATAGACTAAAACGTGCATGATAGAAGAAACCGATTGCCTCTATCTCTGCTAATCAGTATTCAGTAATACGTAGGGCTTGCCAAGGATGAAATGCAAGGAAAGTTATTTCAGAAGTGTACGCATCGTTTGTACTGCAGCGTACTGTCTCAGGGCGGTGAGGTAAACACAAGACGGATATTACAGCCTGACATGGTATCCATCTTTCCCATAAAAAAATCAATGAAATATTCTGGTCATAGGAAACTATTATGTGAATTATTAAAATTATCAAATTTAATGCTTTTAACCTCCATGGATACTAAACGAACACTGATGCATCTATTCTTGTTTACAATTTCCGCCCAAAGAGAACTGGTTTCAATTATATGTACGCAGAGTTTACACGACCGCAATTAACTTTCCTTGCATTACACCCTTGGGGCTCGCAAACTTTCCGTTAACAGCAAGTTTAGTTTGAAATCGTTAACAATCGGAAGTAGCCGATCACATGTCACATAAAGCTTATTCAAATTTAGATGCACATTTTTTATTGTGAGTGAATTCAAGGATAGGATATGGAAGGAAATGGGGGGAGGGGGGGAGGAAGGTAAAGGGAGTTAGACAGAGTTCAAGACAAAGCTGGTTACCCACGCCAATGTTTAAAAAAATAAAAAATAATTATAATACCTTACATTGTACAATGTACAGGTATTTAAGTAAATGTGTAAATACAATAATGATGAACTATGTACTAAATGTAGAAAAAGTAATAATTAAGTAAAAAGGTATTAAAATGTTTAAAATACCTTAGAGTTGCAAGCTGCTCTGGTGGGCCTACTCAGAAGAATCTACAATCATATTAATTATATTTTTTTAGGTTTTAAATTGTGTACAAGGATATACACAAAGAATGAGACTGTAAAGACGACCCGAAACTCTTAAAATGTGACAATCCTAAGTCCATGCTTAATCTTTTAATGGCTTATTTAATGATAAGACAAAGGAAAGAAAAACGTTTAAAAGAAGAGACAATAGATATTTCGGACAGTCGTCTCTGAAATCTCATCCTTTGTAGATAACCCTGTATTAGCTGGGATAATTATCCACTCTTTACAAATTAAACAAACATACCCCTTAAAGATTTTCTTGAAAAATTCTTTATCACTCAGTACAAAAATGAGTTCCCCCATGTACTATGGAAAGTAAAGACACCCCCCCCCCTACCCCTGAGAAAGATAAAAAATGCCACCTGTGAACTTTGTGTTTGAGCTGAGGTGTAGACTGTACACATACAGGACAAGACAAATAGGGCCAGAACATACTTCATAATTTAACCTAAAACAAATACCAATCAAGCATAATTTTTGCACCTAATAATTAAATATATCAGTCTTTTTCACAAACCAGAACTTTCTAATCTCTTTATCTTTGCAACCATGATTATGTACAGCTTTAATATTTCCAACTTAGATTATCTGATCTAACAGAATTCAGTTTGAAATATCTATGGTTTACGTCATTATGTTGCATAGCTAGATAAAAGTATTAGAAAATCAGAGTTTGTGGCAAAGACTCCATTCCTTTTAACTTATATTAAAATCTTATATGGTAACACATAATAACTTCTATTTTTTAAAGAACTATTAAAGAGAACAAAAGTTTTAAATTTCAAGCCTTCAGAAGGGTTTCCAGCAAGGTTTCCAACAGGGATTCCAGCGAAAAAAATGTCGCCGAAAATTTCGCATTTTTTCGCAATCCGTTCGTAAAAAAAATGCGAACATTTTTATATTCTCGCGAAATTAGCTGTACTGTTTTTCTTTAAAAAAGCGAAAAATTCGCGAAATTTATTCTGCATCTTTTTTGCGTCCTTTCGCAAATTTCATTTTTGCATTTTTTTGCGAAAGTTTTCGTTCGCTTTAAAACCTAGTCTTCAGTCAGAGAAAGGAACTGGAAAATCGTCATAAACTGTATTTTTCTAACCCTATCTATTTTTAACCTGATAATGGGGATTCAATATTTGATCTAACAGAATTAATCCATAGTTTGAAATATCAAAAGTCATGAAATCAGATTGAAAACAAAGGGATAAGAAAAATGGAGTTTTTGGCGAATATTCAGTTCCTTAGCATAACTCAAATTTTGGTGTAGAATGAAAGCTATAGTGGATCCAGTTGTTAAAACTCTCATTTGAGGTTGGAAATACTAAAAGCCCAATTTGAGCATAAAAGTTTATAAAACTGTTCTTTTTCTAATAACAATAAAACTATTAGAGTATTAGAATTAAAAAGTAAATAAAACTAATGTTCATTTTTTGTATTAGATTATCAATTTCAAACTTTCAGACCTCAATATATCTCATAATAAGAAACTCCATTTATTTCATGTGGGTAGCTAATTAAACCATATATATATCAATTGTCCTTGTTAAACCATATATAACAATTGCCCTTATTAAACCATATCTAACAATTGTCCTTGTACAACAAAATCTATCAATTGTCCTTGTACAACCATATCTAACAATTGTCCTTGTACAACCATATCTATCAAATGTCCTTGTACAACCATATCTAACAATTGTCCTTGTACAACCATATCTATCAAATGT